AATGCCTGCAAAGAGGCTACAAAACAAGTTCAGTTCCACACACGGGCTAAGAAATTTGAAAAGCCGGCACACGGGCTTTGCTACAGACTAAGCTTGTTATATTCCAAAATTTTTTGACCGATGGGCTTGAAGATACAAAGGTGCAGAACAGAAACTGCTTAAAATCATGCGCAATGCTCTACAGCACATTGGAAGACAGAAGGGGTGGAACTAAATTTGGCTCCAAAATGTTACAATGGTTAAACTTTAGTAAACCTGCAGCAATACTCCTTTCAGAGTTGTGGCGCTATTTATGACCAGTGAGTCACCAAGACAAGCCAGATTGTACTTGGTTAATGAAATGCAAGCACGGTCACTCACAGAAACAAGATAGCGACCTCATGCCTGAGAGTACCTACCTCCAGTACTACCCCATAACATGCATGTACCTTCCCTTCAAAAGTCAGTTGCCATGTTTTCTGCAAGTAGCAATTAGTGAATGATGTGTGACGAGAATTGGTCAGTGGGATGATTTAGCATGCTTACCGGCCAGGGCAGTTGCTGGTTTACTGCGCACCCAGTCGATACTAACAAAACCATTGTGCTCGTATAATACAACGGCACTCAGCCCGCACAACGTGAATAAAATAACACAGGTGAGCGCAAATTTTGGTGTCAGAGCATCCGCTACCTGCTGTAAACCTTCCGGCAAACTTTCGTTGTGAAACATTCCGAATTCCAAAACGTCTGCAAAAAGTACGCTTATTTAGAGGTTCAGAGTGTGTTTAGAAAATGAGGAACTTTTTTTGTTGCCTTCAACTGTTCGAGCATTTGTTGCGCATTTTTCCGTATGGATAGAAATTAAATAACTTAAATTTTCGGGGTGTCAAGGACTACCTAACGAATCTCTAATGCTATCCGTCTAGACCATGCCGATCAACTTAGGCAGGTAAACCTGAGTCTTTGCTGACAGCAAAAAGGTAGAACGCAACTGCTCAGTTTCCTAGAAAGCAATAAACAGTAATTGGCTAGAGCACCGACAACCAGACACAGTCCCCTCCCCCCTCTTCCTTCTCCCTTTCCCCACGGGCCTTTGTTGCTTACGTCACTGTTTTTCCCGGAAAATGCTTTTAGCTAAAGGAATTGAGACTAGTCACCACGAATGCCAGAAATTATTACATGACTCCCAGTCCTTGCTCAAAAAATTCAACACTCTAAGTGTTTTGGTTGGGGAGTTAAGTCAAACTTCACGTGTACGTGAGGAAAAACGAGAACGCTTTTTTCACGTGCGCTTGCTCAAACACGGCCCTGGGCCACGCTTAGAAAATTTCAGTGCTCTAGCTGCTTTGGTTGCGGAGTTAAGTAAAATTTCATATGTGCGCATTTGAGACGTATGTAAGACATGAGAGGGACGTGAAAGTTGTTTTCACGCTCACCTGCTCAAAGGCCGCCCTCAGTCATGCTCAGGAAGTTTCAGCCCTCAACTGCTTCAGTTCCGAAGTCACAAAAGTATCAGCGGTAAATTTTTACGTGTCTGTAAGTGAGATTCAGAGGGGCTGGAAAGCCCAATTTACTTTCACGGACACATCAGTGTACGACAAACAAAGCTGCAAAGTTACAGTTCTCTATAGCTTCTTGGTCAACTTAATTCTCGAGTTGGCACAATGCCATTTTAAATCTTGACGCGTACGTACGTGAAACTTAGAGGGTGTCAGGGCTGGATTTAAAATTTTTGGGCTGGATGTGGGTGAGGAACATCATCGTTAAATTCAGCTTCATAATTTACGTAATTCCCGAAATCGCTTTCCCGTTAAAAAATATTTCACGTGCCCGTACTTGAGAGCCACGCGGACGTAGCCGTCCCTTTTGAGGATAGAAGCCCGTACATAGGTGCAGATTAAGTTGCCGAAGTTTCAGCCTTGCAATTTTTATAGGTCCTGAGATGAAAACTAGGTACTGACGCAAATGCAGACACACAGACACATATACAACCCCTCGACAATATGCGCTTTTGCACTGCATCGACGCAAAAAACACATAAAAACAATTGGGCATTAACGAAGTGACATATTCCAGAAGAGAGAACAGCACAGTCGGACAGCACTTAATTTCATTACAGGTCATTTTGCATCTTCGCGTTTTCATATTTCAAATGACTCACGTCTGGCTATTCTATCACATCACCAATTTTATGCAGTTTGAAAACTGTGCTGATTGCCATGCTGAAGTTCTTTTACATTAAAAAAAACCCACACGATAACCCAGATCAGCATATCAAAATTTCCACTCAACAGGACGGTAACACTTCTTGTTTCAATATTCCGCAAAATTTTTACTGCTATTTTATTTCAGGTTTATAAAAAAAAGATACCTGAAGCCGGGCTTTCAGTATTGGATAGATAATCAGCAACTTTTTTGCGCCACAGGTGACTAATATTACCAACTTTTTCATCGCGCACATTGAATGTTAATCTGATGGCACGAATATAATCAAAATGGCCTTCCTGGAAAATAATCTGTTATACTGACGCAAAAAGGTCAGGTTCTAATACCCACATTACGTTCCATTTTCACAGCTCATCTCAAAAACTAATGTCAACACTGACTGGCAA